AAAGCTCTTCGGTTATACAGAGAAGTTGTTTGGGTCATAATGAAGAAAGGATCAAAGACAGTTAAGAGTTTACTTTTCAGTTCGCCGGAGAAAAAAAAATAGCTACATAAAACTTTAAAAAATTGCTGGCAAAGATTTCTCAACTCTTTCAATTAAACCTCATTCCCCTGGACTAAATGTACACACAAGAGAGTCTAAACGAAAAATGAAGACAACAAATATAAAAACAAGATTGAGTTTATTATTTTAATGAATCATCGGCGATAGTTCTTTTTATGCCAGTCTTTACAATAAGTAGACCTTTTTTCAGACATTGCTAGGGGTGGACATAGATCTTAGTAGATTGACGATTGTAGGAATTTTCAATATATTCTTGTCGTCGTAAATTGCAAATGATAAACATAACAAAAAGCGTTTTTGTGGGCGCAGACATAACCGGAACTTACCGCGAGTAATTAATACTTCTAGTGGCATATAATATAACATTGTTTATCTATATAGAGTAAGATGTATTGGACCAATTTATTGGCCTTCCTGGGCATGGTGTTTTAAGACACGAGCCGAAATAAGGGTTAACTCGACAACTTTGTTTGCTCGTTGCACTAAACATTTTGCACCAGAAAGGTTATACAATTATAGTTAACGAGCCGACCCGCGGCGTATCGTACGCCGCTATTTAGTTGTTTTATTTTCTACTTTTCAGCAATGCATAATTTGTGATTTCGACAGTACCAATACTGCCACTGAAAATACTTGCTTTAAAACACTATAAGTATATTGTTAAGGACAATAACTCCCCCCTTCTTTCCCCTCCCCAACCCCCCCCCCCCCCCCGTGAAAGCAAACTCCTCTTAGTTACCTCCCCTAAGATTAAAATCGTTTCAAACTACATTATCTGCCACTAATAGCCGTCACTAAACCCGGCTCTACGATTGTAAACATTTAGCGTGAACTACAGCTCACCAGACTATGTAGGGGTAGGGGTGGTAGGGAGCGCGCTTACAGCTTGGTGTTTTCTGTGGTCTCCAAGAAGAGAATTATATATATATATATATATATATATATATATATATATATATATATATATATATATATATATATATATATATATATATATAATTTATATATATATTTATATATATATATAGTATTTATATATATATATATAGTATTTATAATATATATATATATATATATATATATATATATATATATATATATATATATATATATATGGTTGTATAAACACTAACATTAGTGCTGCACAAATTGTCTTTATATTCTTTGCCACGCTTGTGATAGTATTTCGGTCCTTATGCGAGTAAGAAGCAGCGTTTTGTAATTTTTGTGTCTTAATTATCCTGCCTTTCTCTTTGATACTTACGCATTAAAGCCATGTTTTTTAGTTCCAATATACAATAAAGATAGCTTCAAAACAAAAATAAACAGTTTCCCAGTTGAAGTTTTTTTTAAATTATTTTTTTTCCTTAGGGGGTACTGCTTACCCACCATTACCCTTTATATATATGCTGTGTGGGTGCGCGGACCTTTGACTACAGATGCTTTGACCATAGAGGGTTTGACCATAGGGGGTTTGACCACAGAGGGGCTTTGACCATAGGGGCTTTGACCACAGGTGTTTTTTCAGCAGATGGTCTTTTATCACAAGTGGTTTGTCAACGAGTGTTTGATCACAAACGCTGTGTCCGGCTTTGACTACAGGTGTTTTGTCCACATAAAGTCTTTGACCACAGGTGTTTTGTCAACGGTTGTTTGACCACAGGTGTTTTGTCAACGGTTGTTTGACCACAGGTGTTTTGTCAACGGTTGTTTGACCACAGGTGTTTTGTCAACGGTTGTTTGACCACAGGTGGTTTGTCAACGGTTGTTTGACCACAGGTGGTTTGTCAACGGTTGTTTGACCACAGATGTTTTGTCAACGGTTGTTTGACCACAGGTGGTTTGTCAACGGTTGTTTGACCACAGGTGATTTGTCAACGGGTGTTCGATCACAAGCGCTGTGTCCGGCTTTGACCACAGGTGTTGTGTACACATAGGGTCTTTGACCACAGGTGGTTTATCCAACGCTTGCGTTGATAACAAGCGTTTTGTTTATACCTGGTAAGGATTAATTTCAAATGCTGTGTAATTATCTTTTAAATTGCGGCAGGATGTAATAATATGTTAATTCATCTGTCATTTAGTTAACCATACAAGTATTATTTATTTGACTATACTGTTGGCATGTTTTTTATCCTTTATATATGCTATGCATTTTCATGTACGTCTACATTATTTATCTGTGAAACTTGTTATGTCTCATTATGAGGCTTAGCACTAGCCGTTATGTGGAGACTAAAATATAGTTCTTCACATTTTTTAGTAAATTTCTATTTAATTAACTCTCATGAAACATGTATGAAATCGTATTTATTGTATCATAAGTTTAAATCAAATAACAGTTTATAATTTTTTTTAAAATCTATATATTATGGTTAACCCCCTATGGTTAACCCCCTTCTGTGGTCAAAGCCCCGTTGTGGTCAAAGCACCTGTGGTCAAAGCACCTAGGACCGCTGTGTGTGTATAATGGTGTAACAATTTCTTATACTTTTATCATTTTTTAAACGTGATTAACGTTACGCTTTGCAAGTGTTTTCAATGTTGTGTTAAAAGCTATAATGATACTCTTACATGATAACATTCCGATATTTTTAATATTGTATATTTTAATTGTATTTTATGAGGGTTGTTGCCAGGGGTAGTAAAGTAAAAACAAGTGGTTTTCTGTTTAATGTCTTACACTGATTTTATCGAATTTGTCTAAACAACTGTGATAATGAGGAAAGGCAGGCGATGTGTAGGTGTATTTTAAGAATGACGTGCTGTTGGTGTTTTGAGGGTAGCATTATATAGTGCTCTTTTATTTTTCTATAACATTTTATAAACAAGCATTCATATCGCCATAAATACAACTAATCTAGACAACTTTATTTAAAAGCTTAGAGAATCTTTTAAGAGTCAAAGCATTTAGCGAGGAACGAATAATTGCACTTGCTATAAGGCACAAGGCTTGTAAGTATGTCAACAACCTTTCTTTCTTGTACTTGCGAGCTAGTATATTTCAAACCATATATTGCTTTCTTTTTAATCTAATTGGTAAAAAAATAAAAAATAAACAGAAAAATTAATTCCACTTTATTAACAAAATACCGACTTTTGCACACCTATGCTAAAACTCTAGAAGATGTTGCTTCCATTTGAGAGCACCCGTGTTAAATGAGGAAATTAAATTTCATGTTTTTATTTCTTACAATTTTTAAACGCAATATGCCTCATTGAATATCTTTTTATATAAATATTCTTATACAAGTAATATATACCAGGCCTATAGCTTACTGACTGCTTTATATTTATAGTTCAGATTTTATATCTTATCTTATCTATTTGCTTTAATTAACAATAAAGGTTAATTATTATATTTAATATTTATCAGTGCATGGTAAGTTACAGTTCAAACGATTTTTTAAAATTTGTAACGATAGAGAAACAATTATGCACATAAAGAAATGAGTTTAATAAATGTATAACAAGTAAATGTAGTAGTTTATGAAAAACACATTAAAAGTAATTTATTTAAAATTATTTAGTCTACTATTAGTTTAATAAATGTATAAGAAGTAAATATAGTAATTTATTTAAAATAATTTAGTCTACTATTATGGAAACTGCTAAAAATATAAACTAATAATTATTTTACTTGTATAGATATACCGAATGTTTCACTTAAATAACCTTTACAACATCTCCCCCCCCCCTCCTCCCTTATAGACACTCACTGAATTCTAAAACTGTTCCTATATTGAAGTAGCAATAATTAAAAAAAGCTATTGAATTTCCCTTTTCAGTTTCTACACGTAAACTTTTTAAATTAGTAGATTCTACTCAAGTCGTTGAGCACTTCCTCGCCTGCCCTTACATTTAGGCCTAGTTAGATGCTTTTGATGTCAAGGCCTTTATAAATAAAATTAATAAAAACATAAATATTGTAAAAAAACAGAGTATATATGTTTCTGTTTTAAATAGGCAATAGAAAATACGAAAAAAAAACCAAATATAAATAATACGGTATAATAATAATCTTTTATTGGCACTAAAGTTTTTAAAATTCATCAATAAAACGAATTTACTTTTATCAATAAAAGTTTTTCCTTCTAATATATGTTAGATATTTAATAAGCAACAAATAATATTTAATTTAAAAAAAAAACGTTTCATATTTTTTTAAAATTGTAAGTTTTTACATAATGTTTTTACTGCTTCGTTAATAATAGAGTTGACACCACATACGAATTAAATTATGATAAAAACCAAAGTAAGATTGCGATCTCTAACAGACAATTTTCTGACCCTTCATAGTCTGTAGTCGACTCGCAGTAGAAAAAAAACAATCAGCAGTGATAATTTTTTTTCCTTGTTCCTCTAGCTAAGCGAGCGATTAGTTCTTGTAATTATTTGTCCTGATGTCTTCCCTTTTTCGTTTGAATTTAGTATTGTCTATTTAGATTAAAAATGATACATTCTTACTTTGTCATTTAACATAATGGTATCTGAAAATTTTTATCGACATCGCTGCTTTAGAAAATGGTTATAATCGAAATTCACGGACTGCAATAAATCCACAAAAATAAAAATAAACACACATACAAGCATTGTAAAAAAATTAAATCGTAAACAATTTGACCTATTTACATTTTCCAGACGTTCGTTTAAAAAAAAAAGAATATTAACTTTAAAATAGCCATTGGCCATTTTATAAACTCCTCTCCAGTACTAATGAAAAAGCAATATATATTTGCGCTTAGATAATGAAAGTACATTTATGTTTACCTGTATTAATTTAAAAAACGTTATTTACTTTAGTACTTACATGTAGTACATTTTAAAATTGTAAATCTATACTTGCAGATGCTTTGCAGTTTCTAAGTTTTAATTCAATGATGGATTTTGAATATGACAGTTCTCAAACTGTTCTGAAAAACACAGAAAAACTTCTGTTGGATAATATTTTTTTGGATTTTACTGTCAAGGTTGATGACGTTTCCTTGCCATGTCACCGTATTTTTCTGGCAGCGTCGTCACATTTCTTCAGAGCACTTTTAATGACAGACATGAAGGAGGCTAAAGAGGGTTGTGTAACGATCAATGGGATTTCTCTTAAAACATTTCAACACATTTTGAAGTCAATGTATACTGGAAAAGTTCCTCTGACGAAAGATAATTTTATAGACATATGGCAGGCAGCGGATCAACTACAGATAGACTTCATAGTTACACACTGTGAGGATTTCGCTACAAAGGCCATTTCTGTTGAAAACATTGAAAACGTTGTGAGTACAGCTAAAGCTTTTAAATCCGAAAAAGTGTTGAATGCTTCAAAATCTTTTCTGTTAAATAACTTTGGCATAATTATGAACGACAAGCATATAATGGAGCTCGAAGTTAAAGATTTCAATGAATTGATTGATTCTCGGGACCTAAAAGTAGAAAACGAAGACTGGGTCATACAAACAGTGTTAAAGTGGGTTGAGTACAGGTCTGAAGAGAAATGCAGTGTTGAATATGAAGAAGTTTTCACTGACAATAAAGATAACACTACAAATAGTTCAAATGATGAATCTGGTAAAAGTCTTCATGCAGCCAATAAACAAATGTTGAATAAAATAAGTCACAGAACTCAAGTCTTGACAACATTATTGAAGTCTGTGAGGACGTGTCTTGTGAGTACACAACTTCTAAAAGATCTGCTAAAACATTGATTGATAATCAACAACACTGAAGCTAGAGATATTTTGATTGATGCTGTGTTGTATAAGACAACACATTATAATCACGGACAATGGCGAACAAGTGCCATACATCGAGCCTGTAGTGAATGGGAGCATTACGGCGTAGAGTATAATATAGATAGAGGAGAATTTTATTACATACATGTTTTTGAAGATAAGCTTTACAAAAGTATAGGCTGTACCGATATATCACTAGACGTCAATTTAGTTGTGTTTGACTCTTATTTGTACGCAAGTGGTGTTAAAGACGTCTCTCAAACAAACAGCTTTCTGTATGTTGTTTGTGTAAATGCTTGGAACAAAATCACTGAGATACCAGGACGGCAGTTAATTTTAGTGCCATGTGAACAGTGTATCTTTATTCTTAGTAAATGTTCTAGTGAAATATATCAAATATTCCCTAAATCTCGGAAACCAAAAGTTGAAGAATTAACAAAGCTACCAGTTACAATAAAAGTACAACAGGCTATACATTATCACAGAACGATTCTGATTTTCAGTTCTGTTACCGTCAATGGCGAAGAGAAAACTGCAGTACATCAGCTGGACATTTTAACAAAGAAATTATCAGAATTAGAACAATTGAATGGACCAGCAGAACAAATAATTAGTTTTAGTGATGACAACAATACTTACGTATTACAAACTGTTGGAGATTTGTGGATTATAAACTGTTTGGTTGAAAAAGTCACATTCAAATTGTTGGGAAGGTTATGGACACTTAAGAGAAAGTTGCACGGTGCATTGACATACAAGAAAAAGTTGACCATTTTTGGTTGTCACCCCACCAAAGAGCCGGCTCAACAAATAAAAATGTATTCGTTTAAAGAGTACTTTAACTTTATAAAATACTGGGGGACTGATGAAACATGTTCAAATTTTATACCAATTACACTACAGAAAGATGAATTGGTGCTGCCTGTCTAAAAATAAGTACAAAGTAATGTTAATGAATGGTTATTTCGTTTTGTAAAATCGTTGGGGGTTGGGTTAAGGGCTGTGTTTTGTGGCGGTGGGTAACGTTATGCAGCGTTTTTGTCCTATTTGTTTCCCTAGATTTACCTTTTTAGTTTTAATTGTATTTGTACTGAATACATAATGACTAAACTAATTGCAAATTTATCGAGTGGAATTCAACTAAATATAGCTTTTAAGGTGCAGGTGACTTAACCTTACTTATATATATATATATATATATATATATATATATATATATATATATATATATATATATATATATATATATATATATATATAATGGAAAGTTTTTAAGGGTAACATGACTGTGTATTTTTTTTTAGTACTTGGAAGAAAAGTATAATTTTTAAAAATAATGAACATGATATTCCAGGCTCTAAACTGGAATCATGTAAAGGAAATAAAACACTCGATTATTATGCAACTCAAAAAGCGTACAGGTCGGATGCTCAGAATTCTATGTTCCAGTAAAACCGCAATGTGTTGATATTATCAGCTGGTTATCGTACAGCTACTGAAACGATATTTTCACAATAGGAAGAGGTGGTCACAAAAAAGGTGAAGTAGCTTCAGGTGATTATGTAACATTGCTTGGAGGTGCCGTCTGTCCTGTGTTGGATTGAAGACTGATGTAACAATACTTATTAAGTTCTAACTTTAAAAACTAAAGAACCTGTGTATGTTTAGGTTTGTTTTATCCTCTTTTTAAATGACTATTTTAGGAGGTTTTTTTTTTTAGTGTTTTTATGTGTTTCGTGTTTCGTTTGTTTGCAAATTTTATATTTTTAGTTGTTTAATTGTGTGTATGTGTTTAAACTAATTGCAGTACTGGTGATGCGATTGTTGAATAATTAAATATTATATGTGGATAAGAGAATGTACAGAGTAAGATCAGTAGGCGGGACGGGGGATGAGGTTAGCACCGGATTACATATTTGCGAGGTGGGGTTGAGGAAATGGCAGAGATGTGATAACGAATGGTAAATATAGAATTGTTAAAGGGGGTGAGGTGACAACCCCCCCCCCCCAGTTATTACATCGGGTTACACTCGACATTGTGTCGCCTCTGAGTAAATAATTTTATTTTGATATCTTCAATCAATTATACTTTGTTTTATACTATTAATTTACCGTTCAATAAAGTTTACACCATGTATTTGATTAATCATCCCAACCTTTGTGTTACACTCTTTTATGTTTATCTTGCAAAAGTTTCTTATTGAAACAAGTGAAGATTTTTAATGTGATAAATAATTGTATAAAAATGTGAATCATTAATTCTTCTTTTTAAAAACTACAGAAATGAAATCTCAGTTTCCAACAGCTATCATTATTAAGAAACAAAGATACTTGTTTTTAAAATTCGAGCAGTTATCAAGCGATTAAAAAGAAAATTCAGTTTGCATAAAAATTGCATAAAAACATTTTATTAACAAGCTGTTATAGATTTTTTAAAATAAATATAATAATGAACTACTATTTAAATAACCAAAAAGAAAGGAGTTTTGAATACACTTACTAGATGAGAAGTGACACAGCATACAATTTTAGTTATTTTAAGCCCTTAATGCCGGAATTATTTTCCAAACGTATAAAAAATTATTTGTGCTGATTTTCTCTCATCATTCTGACTCTGAAATAGAGGTATATAGTTGTTTCGAAATTTGGAAATGCTTTTGATGCTGATTACAGGATGTCGCAAATTCGTGACATCAGATGCTTATGGACCAAACAGTAATTAATTAATTTTTTAGACCGGGTCATTTTTACTGACACGTGTTTCTCTAAATATCCACGCACAAACAATCGAATATCACAAAATACACACATGGACATGCAAGGAGATGTAGACTCACATGTATAATTCATGAAAACTTTAGTTTTAGTTGTTCGGGCATATAGTTACATAACTCTGCTGAACCTGCTAACAGTATACCACTTATATATCAAATTTGTAGTTTTCTATTGATAAAAACGGCATATTCCGGTAACCGGAAATAGAACTTAATCTTCTTCCAGTTAAAAAAATTCAATAACTAGAATACCGTAATTTTTTACTAACGCGTATTCCATTATACTATCAACTTCTGGTAAACATTTGTTTACAAGTTTAAGACAAATCCCATTTTTTAATAAACTCAGCAATATTTGTTTTGAGCATTAATTTTGGAATTTTAAAGTAAAATTTACACTGATGTTACGCATTCTAATCAAAATGCAAATGATGGTAAAATAAAATATTATTTTGACCGAAAGTTTACAAACCACTCGGGTTGTTATGCTTTAGATAATGCAGTTTCACCTATACTAAAACACTTTATGTTTATTAAGAATCTCCACTTGAAAAAAATAGAGTGCATGTTAGTATTGAAAAGTTATGAGAGGGTGCAGGGGGGGGAGGTGAAGGGTTTAATTTGTCTCTATACAATAGTTCTCCCATGTCCCCTATAATTATTGCAGTCTAATAAGTTTATTAATTTATCAATAGATTAGTTTTTATTTTAAAAAAAGAGAAGTAATAGTAAAAGTGATTATAACTATTGTCTGAAATTTATATTCCGTCTCATCTTTAGAAAAAAAACAAGTTTTGCACACCTAAGCTGAAACTTTAGAAAAACGTGTATCGCTTCCAGCTAACAGCACCCGTGTTGAAAGAGGAAATTAAATTTCATGTTTTTATTGCTATTAATTTTAAAATTCTGTAGGCCTCATTGAATATCTTGTTATACAAATATTCTTATACAAGCAAATTACCGGGCCTATAGCTTACTGATTACTAGATCTATATATTTATAGTTCAGATCTTATATCTCTTTGCTTAGTTAACTAGAAAAGGTTAATTATTATCTTTAATATTTATGAGTGTATAGTGTATGGTAAGTTACAATTTAAACCTTATGTTGTTTTTTTTTTCAATTTTAACGAAAGAAAACACATATACAAATAAATAATTTAATTGAATAAATTTATTATAAGTTAAAAGGTAGTTTATGGAAAAGACAACACAAGTAATATATTTGATATTGTTTTGTCTACTTTTATTGAATCAGCTAAAAATAAAATCTAATATGTATTTTCTTGTATCGGTATAATAATTGTATCACTTACATAAAGATTACATATATCTATCCCCTCACTTATAGCCCCTCCCTAAAATCTCAAACATTTCCTTTATTGAAGTAGCAATAACAAAAAATAAAAGCTATTAAGATTACCATTTCAATTTCTACACGTAAACTGTTTTAAATAAGTAAATTCTACTTCAGTCGTTGACCACTTCCTCGCCATCTATTTACCTGTAGGCCTATTTAAAAAAAATCGTATGTAGGTTTAAAAACCTGCGTTATGTGTCACGGATTTATAAATAAAATATAAAAATGATAAGTAGTGTAAAAAAAATAAATAAATGAAACGCAATTGCTTTAATCAATGAAAGCATTTCCTTCTAAAATATGTTACATATTTAAAAAGCAATAAATAATTTTAAGATTTAAAAAAAAAGGTTTTCTAATTTTCTTTTTTAAATTATAACGTTTAAAAAAAAACCTTTTACTAATTCGTTAATGGAGTCGACACCAAATGCGACTTAAAATATCATATAACCCTATAGTTAGATTGTAATCTCTAACAGACAATGTATCTGACCCTTCCTAGTCTGTAGTCGACTCGCAGTCAAAAAACCAATCAGCAGTGATCATTTTATTTCAGTGTTCCTCTAGAAACCAGCACTTATATTTTGGTTTGATATCTTCTATTTTATTTTTTTTATTAATGTCTAATTAGATTGAAAATGAAATATTATTACTTTGTCATTTGAAAGTAATTTATCTGGAAAGTTTAATCGACATCGATGCTTTAGAAAATGGTTACATCGATATACACGGTTTGCAATCAATCCAGAAAAAAAGAAACACACGAACAAGAATTGTAGACAAAATGAAATCTTATAAAAATCTAACCTTTTTAAATTTTAGCTTTTTAACTTTTAAAAT